GCACTGCCGAGCTGCCACTGTTGGGCCCTTGAGCAAGGCCCTTAACCCTCTCTGCTCCAAGGGTGCTGTATTATGACTGACCCTGTGCTCTGACCCCAGCTTCCTGACATGCTGGGGTATGCAAAAAAAACTATTTCACTGTGCATGACTCATTATGTCTTTGGACTGGGTAAGGAAACCGGAGTACCCAGAGGAAACCCCCAAAGCATGGGGAGAGCGTGCATACTCCACACACACATACTCCAAACTCCCAGCCCCAGAGATGTTAACCCCTACGCCACCGTTCCGTTCCCCTCAAGCCTGACATATTTAAGCCTTTGAGAAGGGTGGGTTATTGGACATACTGAGACATCTCACGTCTCAGTATGTCCTGACAACTTGCATGAAGTCCTGAAATCAGAGAAAAGAATCTCCTCTTGCCTTTAGTGATCTGCATGGTGTAGATAAGGTTTCCATTGTGCACAGATGATGCAAGATACCGACATAATGACATACTGACTTGGCTCTGTTTATATCCCCTGTACACGTCCCAGTGCTGTTCCAGGACATATATCACACTTGGCTGGGTTTCACGGGAAAGTTTGGATTCTCAGCCCTCTACCTGACAGTCGGATCAGCCGGCACTATAACAACCCGTATTGAGAGACAGCAGACACCGGAACCTTCCAAAGCCTCTGCTTTATAGTCGTACAGTGTAACTGAGAGATTTGGTCTGTCGCTGTATCTCCACAGCAAGCTGTGTGCATTATGAGTGTGGGATTTCTTTATATATCTTAGTGGATATAAAACAATAGGAATATCTGACAGTTTTGACTTTGTGGGAACTTTTTTATTATTTTTTTTTAAAGCAAGACAAGCTTTTATTTAAAATCTAAAAGAGCCAATGTGCTTTCCTTTGCTTAGTGAAGATAATGTTGGTTTTAGGTTCAGGTGTAGGCATAGCATTAACTAGCAGCATTAATAGATATGCAAATGGGTTTAACGTTGAAATAATAGGATTTAAACGGGTTGTGATTTAAATAATAATCATTAAAAAAAAAAAGTGTCAATTTGTTTCTGTCCTAACCCTGCATCAACAATATATTTGTTTAACCCTGTGACATTAAAAGTCAATGAATAGAATGAAAAAAAAAACGGCATATTTTGAACATTTCTGAACCTTTCGAAATATTAGACTTGTGGAGTGTTGACGGTGGAGCACTTATTCAAATCAAATTAGAAAGTGTTTCCTTTTCATCACTCTAATTCCCATGAGTTTTGTGGCAGTGAAGTGGCTTCTAAAAATACAAGGGTACAACCTGAAGAAAAAGAAATCATGGGACTGTTCAAACAGCAAAATCCAGAAAGGATGTACAGTGCCACCTGCAGGACAGGAGGGTCAGTGGAGGGAAACGTTCACCTTTATTTTTTCTGAAGAAGTTCTGAAGAAGTTTTCCATTTTCAGTTCAAGGTCAAAGAATATCATGGCATGTGATTAAGCAGTATTTATTTAAAAGGAGGACATTAACAGTAAATATATATATATATATATATATATATATATATATATATATATATATATATATATATATATATATATATATATATATATATAATATATATATATATATAAAATAAATGTTGGAAAATGTTTTTTTGTGTGTGTGAATCTTTCATTTTTTAAATCTTTAATCTAAAACATTGTATATTTTAAGATTGTGGAAGAAAAGCTTGACACTGGTCAAGAAGCCTGCGGTCAGGATGCAAATGCAGATTAAAAAGATTAACTGAACTCACATAATCAATCCCCATGGTTAAGCTGGCAGCAAGTCAAACCAATAAACAGCATAAGGTGCAGATTAGAGTTGGCGCAAGCAAGCAAACAGTCGATATTCAGGCAATTTAAACGCAAGAAAAATGTTCAGACGTGCTGACAGGAACATGGGAGTGTGTGTCTGGTCCTGCTGATGAAAATCCAGTGTGTTTATAATGAAGGATTTGATTTAGTTTATGTCAGAGATAGAGGCCCATTAGGAGGAGAATAGTTGCGACATACAGCTGGACTAACACACACACACACACACACACACACACACACAGATAGAAATGTTGGTATTGCTGTTTTATAGGGGATTTCCACTGAACTAACCAACCTTAACCCTAAAAACCAAAATTAAATATATGTTTTTAAATGGCATTTGTATACCACAAAAAACCCTCCCCTCATGAGCCAGCAGGATTTTAGTTTAAGGGACCACACACACACAAACACACACACACACACAGGTTGGTTTTTTGTTTTGTTTTTTAATATGCTATATATCTAGTAAAGAAAATTCTGAAGGTTCATAACCTTTCAAGCACCACTTTGTATGTGTGTGTATGGGTGGGTGTTACCAGTGTATGTAGCAGAAGGCCCTATTAAGCTTCGTTTCATGTCTCGGGACAAAATGAAACGTGTCATGTGAATGACGTGAAAGCATCCCCAGGCCTGGCGTGAAGGTGACCATGACTCAGTCGCTCCCCATTAATCTCAATCTCCACATTTCACCTCAATTACCAGCGAAAATGACTCATCATCTGTTTGTAAAACTCCATTTCTGGACTTTCTCAGGACACGCCTGTATTTTTTAATCTGCCTACTGGGACATTTTCAACATCTACAGTGTGCAACGAAGTTGAATTAAAAAGATGTACCACACAGTTTCTCCCAAGGCATTAGTAAGTGACCATGAAGAAAAAGCTGGCATTTGAGGGAGAGGGTCAAGTGACCTTGTCCCTCTAATGTTCCCTCAAAGTACTATTATCAGTGGAGGATTTTTCCACCAGTGTGACTGCTGAGAGGTTGAAGGGACACGAGGTGAATAAAGAATACAGTTCTAAACACTTTTTTACACTTTTCAACCTAATCTCTACTGTATCTACCACATCTATTGGACATGTGCGATTAAGAGTCTTCCACAGTTCCCGGTACACACTTAATGGTTATTTGGATAGTTACCGGTTTTTACACTTAAAGGTTAAATCTAGAACCCTTAAAGCAAGAGTTCCCAAGCTCAGTCCTGGTTATCTACTACTATGGGAAGTTTACTTCCAAAACATCTAGCACTGGTCCTTCTAAAAGGGAAACCTCCCAAATCACGTGGTCTAATCACCTGCAAACTCCACACACAGGGCAGAACCAGGATTAGAACCCCCAACCCTGGAAGTGCGAGGCAAATGTGCTAACCACTAAGCCATTGTCCCCCCCCCAAGGGGTACTGGGAAACCTAAAAAAAAGTTTTACAGTAGAACCGATAAACTTTCATTACAGATTCCAAAGCTATTACCCATACAAAAAATGATCAAACATTGAACATTATCTGGACGCACAGTGGCTTAGTAGTTAACACGTTCGCCTCACACGTCCGGGGTTCGAATCCCACCAAGGTCGTGTGTGCAGAGTTTGCATGTTCTCTCCATGCTGCGGGGGTTTTTTCCTCCGGGTACTCCGGTTTCCTCCCCCAGTCCAAACACATGCATGGTAGTCTGATTGGCGTGTCTAAAGTGTCCGTAGTGTATGAATGGGTGTGTGAGTGTGTATGTGAGTGTGCCCTGCGATGAACTGGCACCCTGTCCTTGGATGGATGGATGAACATTGTCTAAAAATGTACAGCTTGTCCTTTCAGAAAAGGGACTACTTTTTCAGGTTATGTGAAATTGTACACAGGAAACTGGATTGTTTTTGACTGCAGATTCAACATCCCCTGTTTTATTGTCACGAAATTCTACTGGTGATATCCTGAGCCAATGACATTAAAAAAGCTACAAATTTCAGGTTCTAAAAATGACAAATAAGTACAGGTACAGGTCAGGCAAAGGCATGACACAGACAAAATATTGGACACATAAGACAAATATAGCATTTATGGCTGAATATTGCACATATAGAGGGATATTGCACAATTGCTTGAGCTCTTTATTGCACATTGGGATTAGCAGCTTGCCTGATCATTGTGTTGTTGTTGTTGTTGTTGTTGTTGTTGTTGTTGTTGTTATTGGGCTGTGTCCTTACTTGAGCTCTGAGTTCAGTTGTGAAATGACCAACGGGTAGAAGATGTATTTGATCCTGTTGGTGTGAGTGTGAATGGCTCTGTAACGCCTGCCAGTTGGTAGAAGCGTGAACAGACCGTTGCTGGGGTGGGTCGAGTCCTTGAACATCCTGAGCACATTCTTTCAGCAGTGCTCTCTGTGTGTCTTTAATGCTCCAGTGTTGGATAAAAGTAGTACCCAAAAATATTCAGTTGACTATGGAGTGGCATGGGCGAGCTCAAAATCCTCGATCTTCTTTGTTGTCTGGGATGCATCTGAGCTGGTTATTTCAATCATTTGTTCCACTGAGCTGTCTCCAGCTCTGAATACCACTTTACTACCAACATCATTTTCCATATGGCTTCATTGAATTTGATGTGATACCGATACCGCCTGTGACCTTGTGCTTAATAAGGGTTTCACAGAGAGCAGACTTTGTAGACTTCTGTAGTAGCAGGTACAATCCATCTGAAGTAAATTCCTTTTCAACTTGCATGCTTGATTTTCCTTCGAAAAACGTATAGACTCATACTGGCTTATTGTATTCATCACAATAAAGGGACAAAGCTCCTGTACATCAGCTGATGTGTGAGGATGGAGTAGGAATGCAAAGGAAGGGCTGCAAAGGAATGGAAAGACTTATAAGATGTTGAGAGGAAGCCAGCAAAGAAAAATGACAAAAGCACATCATTACAGCAGTATCATTTCCATGCCACTTATCCTACACAGGGTCGCGGCGAGCCTGGAGTCTATCCTAGCGAACTCGGATACCCTGGATGGGGTGTCAACCCTTCGCAGGGTACAATCACACACACATTCACACACTACGGACAATTTAGAAACACCAATCAGCCTTCAACTCATGTCTTTGGACTGGGGAGGAAACTGGAGTACCTAGAGGAAACCCCTCCAAGCATGAGGAAAACATGCAAACTAGACGCGCACAGGAG